TATGATTTTTTTATTAAATAATAATTAATATCGTTTAACTTCAATTTTAAAGAACTATGAATTTGATTAAATAAGAATTAAAAATAATTAAAGAAGATGAAAAAAAAATAAAAGTATAAGATAAAAATTATTTAATTATTAAACTAACAACTAATAAAACTTATATATTAAAAAAATCAAAAGGTAAAATTTTTTTAGATTAACAGTCTATATTTATATCTATCTATTTATATCCATATATTATATAAAATGTTAAACTCAAATATTAATTAGGCACTAAAATTTGTCATTTTTATTTTAATTATAAAAAACACATTTTGTTAAAACTTAAAAAGAAAATATAGTATTTTTATATTTAAAATATAATAAATATATGTACTAATAATATTTGTTTTACCTTTTTATCTTTTTATCTTCTTCTCTTCCACCTCCACTTCTCTTTTTAATATTCTCAATTATCTTATTATTATTAGCTTTCATTACATATTTATGAGATTTGGATGAGATTACAAATTGAAATCTCCTTTAACTACATAAGAATTAAACTGGACACCATTTAAATTTTAGTCCAACGGTAGTTTTTCTTTTATTCTTTGGGTTTAAGTTACTTTGATCTCATAAAATTTAATTAGTAGGTAATAAGGTATTGACTTTATAAGTATGTATTTATAGATATTGATTTTTTTTTATGTGATAGGTATTGAATTGATTTAGCTAAAAATAAATTTAATATTAGATTCCTCACGGCTCTTGTAACTTAAAAAAAAAAAAAAAACAAATTATAAATAGAAGATAAGGAAATCAAATCTAACCCAAGGGATTGAAGTGCACTTATCAACAATGACAAAATCACTAGGTCAGTCGGGAGGGTCGTTAAAGTGTAACTCTCATAACCAATTTGGATTTTTTATGATAGGTATTGATTTGATTTAATAAAATTGACTTCTTGCTTTTCTCCTACCGTTGCTGTTTTTTCCACGAGAGGAAAGGACGCGAGGTCTGTGTTCATTCCTAGCCTTGTGTTCATATCCGGCTTTCAAAGCCACTAGGCCCACAAGGTCAAGTGTAACTCTTATGACCTATTTGGGTTTTTCATAATAGGTAATTAGGTATTGATTTGAATGGACAAAATTGACCCCTTGATTTTTCTCCCACCGTTGCTGTTTCTTTTTCCACAAGAGGAAAGGATGAGGGCTTTGTCTTCATTCCTGGCTTTCAAAATCACTAGGTTGAGAAGATCAAATGTAACTTTCATAATTTATTTGAATTTTTTATGATAGATATTGATTTGAATTGATAAAATTGACCCCTTGCTTTTCTCCGATCGTCGTTTTTTTTTCCACAAGAGGAAATGACGCGGGCTTTGTCTTCATTCCTGGCTTTCTAAAGTGTGGGAGCCCCATTGCCAATCTTCAAAATAAATAAATAAATAAAAAGTGTGGGAACCATGGAACGGAGCAGGTTTGAAAAACAGGGCATAGATGCGTAAAGATGGTCCTGGCTCTTCTGGACGCTGGCTGAAAAAAAAATGGTCTTGAATCTTCTCTACACGTGATCGATGCTCATCTTCTTTAACAAAGTCTTTGTTTTGATGATATGACATTTTTTTGAATTTTGTTTGATTTTTATAAGGAATAAAAACATATGATTATAATTTTATTTATTTTCATTTATAGTATTATTATATTATTTTTATTTATTATTTATTTTTATTATTTTTAATTTTTTTTACCTCATG